TGTAATAAAAGCATTAGGATTTACCAATGCAATATGAACACAAACCAATATTACATTTAGCAATGCACACATCGACTGAATTGAATGAACAGCACAACACACAAACAAGAGGCATCACCGAGGTAGTTCCGACATGCCTCAGTAATAAACTCGAAATAATAGCTAAAAACATAATAATCCAATTCAAGAAGAATCTGCAAAATCAACTGCTACAACAACGACACCTGCGATTTATCACCTACGAATTTGAGAGACCTGAAATGTGAAGACACGATTAAATTAACATCCAATTGCTTTGCCGACGACACGGATGGGACACGTGGGAGTATTTAATGATGTAGTAGAGTTGGCGAAAACAGCGGACAGTTTAAAAAGCTCCAATCCATGCACACGCTGGCGGTGCAGCAACAAACACTAATAAAGTTATAACTAACTGCAGGCGCTAAGCTAACCTGCAGGCCTTCAGCTACTGCAGCTAGCTCTGTAGATTCTTCCCTACACACCTCGCATCATTAGTTAATGTGCATGTGACTACTGCCGTAGTAGACTGCTCCCCGTCGACACGAGCAGTGATCTACTAACGAAGCAAACAGACGTGCTAACCGCGTCTACAGACTAGGCGGCACACGGGAGATACAGGAGCTATCGCTCCGGCCAACAGCGTGCACACGCACGCTCAACGATACGGCGATGAGTAAATTAGCCCCACCCCTTTAAAGCGCCCGCAGTGTTTTTATGCCCTCTATCCTTCTTATCTCGTCGCTACGCTATTCGCACGCTTGCCATTAGATTACGACAAAACGTAGACATAGGAAGCACAGGCACGCAGCACGCGCTAGATACCGTCTATAAGCTCGCCTAAGTGGCAGTATGTGATGACAGCGCGGTCTATCTATACATATGATCACGAGTACAGTAATAGAATAAGAGTATGAACACCGTTTTAACAGCTGTTTTGCATAGTTTTCCAACTTGTAAATATTGCTAGTCAATCTTTGAATCAAATATATTCAAAACTTTACTTGTGTTCGTCTATGATTCTCCTTAATGCATATGACACCACCAAAATTTACCTGAAAATCGTATGTTTCCCAAATATATATGTTTGTTTAATATACAAGTTGAAAACTATGCAAAACTATGAAATAACTAATTCTCTATTATGTTACTCTTTGATATAGTTACTCTTGCCTTTTGTCTAGCATTATAGTCAATTAACGTAATTTACGCTGGATTCATAGTGCGTACAAATACAGCCCTAGAGCACTGGTATACGACGTGCCCTGGTTATGCCCACGTTACCTGCGTGTTGCAGTGGCATACACCCACGGACACACACACACGCACGCACACACGCACACGCGCAGCCGCTACGTGCGCCGCACCCGCCGCGCACACACCACACACACACACACACACACACACACCACTGCAAAGGGTGAGGCGGGGAAGCGCCGTGAAATACAACAACGCAACTTCCGTCGACACGGTATCATAACATGCCCTAATATCGCACCCACCCTGAACTTCATAACCACCATAAATCAAGGTACAGAGCGAAAGCGCACACGTAATGCCAGCCGAGGAGGAATGCACCTGTATCACAACGGTTGGTTGTATTCGCTGCAAGCTGCTAGCTGCTGTGCTGAAAGCTGTTCGGCTGCTGCTGGTACTGATACTGATACTGTGCAACTGGTGCGATTGTGTTTGTTGTTGTTGTGTTGTTGATTGTGTGTTGTTATTGTTATTGCAAGCCTGCGTTGTTGTTGTTGCTCTTTGTTCTTATTGTTATCATTGTTCTTGTTGCCGCACTACCGCCGCCGCCACCGCCACCGCCACCACTACTACTACCTGAGCTATTGATTCTGCTACCGCTGTCGCTAAAGGTGAAGTAAAGTACCACAGCGAGCAGTGCAGCGTGCACACTCTGGACATCGGAGGCGTTCCTCTCCTGTTCTCAGATTTCCATTACCTTCCGGCAGCTCGATAGCTAGGCCCGCACGTAAGCATAGTCTGAACCGGTCGGAACTGCGCGCACACACGCCGTGTATGGTTGGCTCATCGTACTCAGAAAACGAATGTTTTCTGAGTAGCGATGGCCCAACCATGGCCGTGTCTTCACATAATGTGGGACAAGACACAGAGAGACACGAGCTCCTACATAGTTGGACCGTCGACGCACGTACACACACATCGCCGTGTCTTCACATAGCGCGGGGGGGGGGGAAGACAGCAGATCATACATAGTTGGACTGACTGCAGCGTACACACCGTATGTTCTCATAGCGCGTGGGGGGGAGGAGGCAAGACACAGCCATAACATAAGTTGGACCTGACTGCAGGCGTACCACCACCCGTGTCTTCAGCATAGCGCAGGCGGGCAAGACACAGATCAATACATAGTAAGACACTGACTGCAGCGTAACACACCCCGTATGTTTCACATAGCGGGGGGGCAAGACACAGCTCCAATACATAGTGTGACCTGAACTGCCTAGCGTAACACACGCCGTGTCTTCACATAGGCGGGGGGGGGAAGACACTAGATCATGACTATAGTTTGACCTGACTGCAGCGTACAACACCACGTATGTTTGTCATAGCGCGGTGGGGGGGGGGCAAGAACAGCTCCATACATAAGTTGGACCTGCACTGCAGCGTTACACACCCACGCGTGTGCTCAACATAAGCGGGGGCAAGACCACAGCCTCATACATAGTGGAACCTAGACTCAGCGTACACACACACGCCGGTCTCACATAGCGCGGGGGGGGGGGCAAGAACACGCTCATACATAGTTGGACCTCCCTGACTGCACGCTACCGCACACCCGTGTCTTTCAACTAGCGGGGCCAAGACACAGCTATTCCCTTGCGGCCTGTGTAAACATCATTGCGCAGATAAAGAAGAGTGTAAACATTCCGCAAATAAAGAAACGCGAGCTGTTTGTGTTGCGTCGGCTTCCTGTCCCGCAGCACGACGGCCAGAAGAATAGAAGATGGTGGGTGCTCAGAGGTTAGAGAGGTCCGCCTGTGCTGCTGCTGGTGGTGACAGTGAGATAGAGAGAGAAAGAGGAGAGAGAGAGAGAGAGAGAGAGAGAGAGAGAGA